CTTGGCACCCCGAGGAGGCGGGTCCAAGCCCCACCGCGGGACGCGCTCTGCCTCCGCGGCTGCAGCAGCCCCCTCTCAGCTTCTGGCCGGGGTCGAGGTGTGAGGTAGGAGGAATCGCAGCCAGGCTGCCCAGTTTCTAGGGAGGGGTGTGGAACTGGCTGATGGAGAGAGGCTAGGGGAGCCGTTGTTAAATTAGGCGTATTTAAAAGTTACCTTAAAGCACTGTTTACAGGGTGCCCTTACCTATTTCCGGTGGGACTAAAAAGAACTTAATGCAGCCACTGTCTGGGAAAAACCATGAAACTGTAAAGCTTTTGGGTGACACAGAAATACGGTAATTACAGTTGAATTTTGGTCTGTGTTTACCAAAGTAGGCGTCAAAGTCCTCTATTGTCTTTTTCTTACGAATTAACTTTGGTGAGCAGAATATTAAGCAGAGAAAGTTGCAGAAAATGGAATAAATGAAGGGTCATGGTTTTTAGGAAAGGAGGGGGATTAGAAGTTCTTATTTTCTTATATATCAAAGGTGCTTATTTTCTTGGGAGTGTTATATATCTTCCTGTCATGTGTAGCTGGGGTCAGCAGTTGAAAAGGAAACTCAGATTTTCTGTTTCTGATGTTAGTCCTTCCTCTGCACTTTCTAGCAAGTGAGCTGTTAGACTTGGGGTTCCTCCTTTCAGACTGAACCCTGGCTCCATTTAAATGCCAGGCATATAAAAATGACAGATGTGTCTGTTCCTGGTGCCAAGGGTCTTAGCCACGGAGTTCAGGAGTAGGGGAAGAGTAGCCCAGAAAATCACCCAAACTTCCCAGGTGTGCTTTTGCATATTATCAGTACTTGCACCTGAATATTCCTGTATTAGTAGTCAGTCTGTAACAAAACCAATGGATTATTTCTAAGTATTTTACAAAAAACATGTAAGAAAATGCAAGCTCTTGAGGCTTTCTTTTTCTTTGGATTGTTCTATTCTTCCACTCATGAAAAAAAACTAGGGATGTGCTGGTTGAAGAAGAGTATTTTAAGCATTACTTTAGACAAATTAATCTAATATTGTCTCTGATTTACCTTACAGACATTTTGGTTAGCTGCTGAGTCAGGGGCACAGCTAGAATATGAAAACATTTGCTTGGAGTTCATTTTTTTCTTGGTCTGTGAAGGTGTGGGTTGTATATGAACTTTAAATTCCAGTCAGGCTTTTCCAGTTGGAATGAGATTTCAGAGCAGTCTGTCTAACCTAGGTAGGTTTGTTCAGCGTGCTATAGGAAATGGAAAATAAGGAGGCATTTTATTATACTTTTGTGAGCTCCCTTATAAAGTAGGCAAGTAGGTGCGTGTGTGTCTTGCGCTTTTTACAAATTTAGTTTTCGTGTGGGTTCTAATGACTCCAGGAGCAGCACTGTACCCATCTGAATAGATCGTATCCTAACCCGTTAGTAAACAAGCCTGCCAAAGATGCTCTGTGTTGCCCATTGTTTCTGTCCCAGTCACGTGAGGCGTACTTGTTTAAAAGAGTTTCAGATAAATTGTTGATTGGGATGCCTCAAGTCAAGAGGTGTTCAGGACATGTTTAAAATAAAATTTGTTTGACCTTACAAAAAGATCCTTACAAAAGCATGCCAGGGGGTTCTCTGTGCGGCTGCTGTTTCATTATGGGTTTATGCTACTCCAGACAGTATCTTCACAGGGAATGCAAAGGCTTGTCTTCTTTTTAGCTCTGTTTGCTCCTTCAGAACAACAGCATGTACCAAAAAAATCCCAAGGAGTTTTTGAATGCTACTTCCTCTGCATCCCCGGTGGCCTATGCCTCATTTTTAGCCAGGCTAAGGATAGTATTACAACACAACCGAGTGAGTATGAATTTGACACTTACTTTGAGATGGAAACAAACCTTGTAAGGTTAATTTTGTTAGTGTCCCTTTCTGTTTAAAACTTCAAATGTTGTCATTACGTAATGTTTCTGAAACATTTGGAGATTTTTCAAGTCTCAGTTTCTTTTGATGCTTTTTTGTTGGATGAGGGGAAAGCAGCATGTTGGGATACTAAAGGTTAGTGTCCTGCAAATAACTTTTTAAAAAAAAAAAAAAAAATCAAGGCTTTCCTGGCATCTTGAAGCGGCATTCTTCCAGGTGTCCCAAATGATATTTCATACATTACTGCTTCATCAGCTACTGAAGCTGACTAAACTTCATATATAAAGAGACGTTAGTGTTTGAGGAAGGAGCTATTCACAGACAGTCCTGGTAGCTGAAGCTTTATCTCCAGAAATAAAACAGTAAAGCACTGGTGTTGTAAGCTTCCCTGATATGTGCTAACCCTGACTTGTAGAGATTTACCACTTCCAGAGAGTAAGAATGCATGAGCTTGTCTCCAGTATTCTTCTGTCTCCATTCAGACTTCTGTTTCTCTTCTTGTTCTTCCTTTAAGCTCTCCAGTTGCAATTTGAGGTACTGTCCAGTGGGACTATACAAGGCAGTGCCTCTGGGACAGGCTGCTGTGAGCCATGGGCTCTTGGAGGCGTTGGAGCTCAAAGGCAGGCAGGTCGTGTGGCACAGAGCCAGGCAGGGCTTTGGCAGGCCTAGGACACTGGATTCTAGTGGACCTTCAAAGTCAAAGCTACCTGTAGTGACCACCTTGATTTTTATCACAAAGGCACATTCTGACCAGCATATATCCAGAATTTCCCCCCTTCATCTTTAGGAAATGTCTGCAGTCTATCTTCATTTTTAAAAAATGCTGTAGTATATGCTGTTTAACAGGTTGAAATTGTGATGTACTACTCTCTGTAAAATACATCCTTCTTAGCTGGCTAAATCCTAGGGTACAGACTGTAGTTCCCAAAAGTTGTGGTTGTTGACTTAATGCATAGTGATTAAAGTCCTGTTGATAAATAATTACTTGTTCTTTGAGTGACAGAAAGAATGTGGCAAACAGAACAAAAACGTTTTGTAACTGTTATGTCACTGTAAGAAAAGATATTTATAAAACGGTGGAACTAAGATTTTACATAATGATAGGCAAGGACATTCCTAAGTCCAAGTCCATGAATCGTGGTTAGTAATAACAAAATTCCTTTTCTTTTGATAAATTTCCTCCTGTGAACTGGTAAATTGATTTGGTTTCTTAAATGTCTACTTCATGCTGTCATTTCATAGTGTTTTACATATACTGAATATTTCTTTCCTTGATGCCATAGTTTTTCTCTCTCATACTATACCTTTCAGAAAGCAGCAGGAGAGGAGAACACTTGAAAACAAACACATTCCTTTTATAACAAATACTTCTTTATGTATCATTGCACTTTTTAATTTACAAGCCTTTTCAGCCCATATGATATCAAGATTCTTGGCTTTTATTCAGGCCTCGTGGCTGTAACTATATTCCTTCCAGAATGGCCCAAAACATAATGTGTCATTATCTGGCTAAATTGCAAGCAATACGAAATTGTGACTTGTTAACTGCCTTGTCTCCTGACTGTCATATTTAATAACATTGCTAAGTGAATACAAATGAAGCTGTTGGTTATTACATGGAAGCAATATTCTTTGATATCCAGAGGAAAATACAGCTCTCTTCTCTGTCAACTACTTTTGATGCTCATAACACTAGAGAAAACGGTAATGCTGCATTCCCAGCAAAAAGGGATTCCTCATTCTCTAAAAATTCTGCAGGGAAACAATTGAATAGAGTTCTGTGTGTGAATAACACTTAAATTGAAATACATTGTCATCCAGATAGTAGTTTTGTTGCTTTTGGCAAAGGCTGTACAGATTAAGTTGCAAGATTGTTTCAGTAAGTCATTTTAGGAGCAAGTGTTGTGGTTTGCTGGTGTACAGAAATGTATATTACTGTTTGCCATTTGAGATGACAGGTTTTGGACACAGTCAGTTGGTTAAGAATCATTTAGCACGGTCTTTGCGTTTTCACCTGGAAATTTTATGGAAGTTGCTGTGTTTTGAAGAATTCATAGCACAAAAGTGGCACTTCTGTCTTTATAAAGGAAGGTATCAGCTATAGGGTGTACTCAGTTATTATTAGTGTTGCTTCATGAGCAGAAGTAAACCTGAACTTGTGTGATTCTTTAGAAGGATCAGGAAAGTACTTAATAAATATGTAGGAAGTAAGAGAGGGAGAAATTATTTAACATGTCTTGAGGCCATTTGTTGAGCATTATCCTTTGATAAACAGTATGTTTATCAATGTGAGAAGAATCCACATCAAACCATTTGCTAATTCGCGCTTACTGTGGTCTTTGGTCAGCCTGTCACTCACCATTTTCAACACTTTTGTCTATTTCTGTAGTTGAAAATCTGCTTTCTCTAAGCCTAATCGAACATCCCAGAATGATCTTCCGGAGACCCACTGTAAATTCTACCATTGTCTGTTTTCCTCCTACATCAACTTGAAACATTCCTTCTTCCTTTTTCTCTGGTGTCCCTCATCTTCCCATCATGTGCCACTGCGAAGAGCCTGGCTCAGTTGTCTTGATGACCTCCTCATAGGTACTGGACAGCCGCTCGCAGATCATCTCAAACCCCTCTCCAATGCTGCATAAGCCCGTTTCCCTCTGGCTCTTCTCACAGGGCATGTATACTCTGATTACCTGACCATCTTGATGGCCCTCCACTGAACTTGCTCCGGTTCTTCAATGTCTTTCTTGTATGGGGGGCCCAAAACTGGATGCTATTTTAGTTGGAATGCAGTAAATACTGAATAAAAGGGAATAATCGCCTCCCAGGCTTCACTCCTGTCAATAGAGCTCAGGACACTGCCTGGATGCGCTGCTGGCTCCTGCTCAGCTTGCTGTCGGCACAGACCCCAGGGCCTTTGCTCCCCAGCCAGTCAGACCCTCACCTGCACCCCTGTGAAGGGTGGGCGACATGTACTCCTGCTATACTCCTTCCCAACAGGAAAAGGTAAGAAAGCAAATACGAAAGGTTGTTCAAGACTTTGTCTAATGTACTTATGGAAAGCTCCAATTCTATGGTGATTATATGGAGTCATGAAAAATCTCACAGGAGGTTGTAGCTGGTTTAGCGCTTGGCTGTTCAGCAACAGCCAGTGCTAAGGGCTCTGCTGTCCAAAAAATTCAAAGCTAAAAGCAGATCAAAATAACCAGCTCTTGTAAGTAAATGGGCATTCAGTAGTGCAACAATTAGCACAGGAGAGGTGGCTCCTTGTCTTTGTTCACTTAAGAGTATTCTGTCACATTCCTTCCAAGCAATGGGTGTGGATTCTCTGTTCTTTATCCCACCCTCATTTGTTACTAGAGGTGGTCCCCCTGAAGGCCTGCTGCCGACCTCTTATGTCATAGGTGGTTTTTCTTCATATCCTCAGATGAATTTAACACAATTCTCCAGCAGTTCCAACTTCTCTTTCTCACAACAAAATTGTTGCCAAAGTAATTACAAAATCAGGAATTGCTTAAAGAGGTTATGAAGTGGCAGATATGGCTTCCATCACGTTATTTACAAAGCTGGGGCGCTTAAATGGAGGAAATGAATAACTACGAACTTTGTGTCCTATACTGCAAATGTGATAGACTTCTTCAATACAAAAGAGTATATGATCATAGCTTTTATTGTAACCTGTGGCTAGTACCGTTCATTTGGTATTTTGATATTAACATCTAACTTGCATTGAGGGGCTTTTAGATGAGAAATACGAAGGTTTTATTTCCAATGAATTTACAATTGTTATTTCTTGTCAAGAATTACATACTAGTAAATACAGTTTAACAGAGAGACTATATAAAATTTTTACTATAAAACGGTCGTTTTAAATTACAGTTGTGATTGGTACTTATATGTAGTTGTCGTGTTTCTTTTCCAATAGAGTTGTCTGAAATATGTCTCTGTACACCCACTGGAGAAAATTTACTTAGGATCAGAACTGGTGTTTTTGTAATGACTTTAATTATCTTTTTTTATTCATATATCAGACTGATTCATGCTATACAGAAGTATTTTCCTTAGAGTTTTCTAAAGATGCCGTCAAGCAAATTAGCTATATTTTGTCTTGAGGAATACATGTTGCTTTAAATTAGGTAATCTGGTTCATACTACTTGTGTACTCTGTGCCTGTCTGTAGTGTGTGTTCTTAATGATTTAAAATAAGACAAATACTAAAGCTTCAAACAATGTGACAGGACAGGTTTTCAAGCTTCCGAACTGTATGGAGCAAGTTGTTATTAAGCCCCCAAAGTACCTCTGCCCGCTGAGCACGCCACAAGGCAGGCTGATCCCTACTAGCTGGAGCTGCCTGCTCTGCAGAGGAGACTGCACAAGGACCCTCGCTCAGCTTCAGGTCAGCTTGTTGGATCCGTTCACCCCCACCTTCAGTAAGGAGTTAAACTGCAGGGGCATGTCCCTGATTCGGTCAGGACAACTTTGCCATTGCTGTGAGGGACCGGTGCAGTCTGTGTGCTGTCAGCACAGTGTGTCTGTGTAATTTAGCCCTTCAAATAAAAGGCAAAACCCTATTTTTCAGTGCCATCAGTGAGTTAAGCTATATGGTGAATCAGATTAACAGGCGGTAGCTTCAGTGCAGGGAGAGGGCAAGGCTATGCAGCTGGGATGGCAGGGCTTTGATGACAGTGTTGTCTCAGTTCGGTTTAAGCAAGTCATTAAACCATGCCTGTATGCGGCTGGCTTTGCCTGACAGAAAGAATGAGCGCTCACATGGCTCATTCTGCCAGCAGAAGTGATGGGAACGGTGACAAACGGGTGTGTGCGTTGGGATAGATGTTTGCAAAGGATGTATCTGCTTACAGGTCTAGTACACACTGTAGTCTCCACAGTGGAAGCAAAACCACAACAAACTGAAGATCATGTGAAAAGGCAAATGATTCAGAGTCCTTACTCAAAAGAGGAGTGACAAGTAGGGGAGCATGAACTTCAAATGCCTGAGGGAAGGAGCTTACCTGGAGGATATGGGCTGGGAGAAAGGCTGCTGTTAGAGCTCCTGAGGTCAGACCTGCGGTCTGCGCTCTTCCCAGCGGGACACTCGGGGCTTCAGCAACTTTGTACATGCGGTCCTGTGAACACACAGCCATAAGTGCTTGAGTCAAAAATGTGTGTGGGTGCTGTGAGATCTTGCTGGTGATGTTTTGAGGTTGCTTTATCACTATTGAAAGGCTGTGGCAATTGGGGAGGACCAGAGAAAGGCAAATACTGTACTCTTCTTCAGAAAGGGCAAGAAATCCTGGGAACTACAGGCTGGTCAGACTCATTTTGGTCCCTGGGAAAATCATGGAGCAATTCTTCCTGGAAGAATTAAGTTTTGACCCCACCTGGAGCAGGCAGTTGGCTTTGTCACCTCCCAAAACCTGTCCCAATCTCAGTGACTGTGGTTCCATGGAGTGTACTTATAGAGAGGTTTTCAGAATCCAGTACAAGGCCCAAGACTGGCTTGTTCAGTCACTCTGCAGGTAAACCACTCTTATTTATGTGAAAAGTGTAAGCAAAACAATTTTTTTTTAATTTAAAAAGTTTATAATTCTTCTGTATGTACAGAATCTCTCTGATCTCTCCCAAGAGTTGGGTAATCATCCTTAGCCTTGTTTTGCACTTGACCTAGTCAAGTATTGAGATTTAAAACTGTAACAGACACAAAGGTCTAGAGAGAGACTTGAGTACAGAGAATATCATACATAAACCTGCCGTGAACTTCCTTGTCTCTCGTAATTGTCTGTTGACTGCTCCAAATAATTATCTGTTCCATTAATAATCATTGCTTTGTTGTTTTCTCCTTTCTGAGTCCATTACAGTCCCTTTCCCTTGACTGAGAAAACTCTTACCAGGACCAAGAAATGCTTTTTCATTGCATTGACTCCTTTTAAGCTGTATGCATACAATTTGGGATCTAAATGCTTGGTCAGCCCAGGAAAGTGATCAGTACAGCCTTTCCCAAAGTGAAAGCTGCTGCTCAGACATGCAGCAGAGTCAGAAGATAAAAACAAAATACCAATGTGCGAAAGAAATGGAAAACTGATTCTGTATTATTTGGTGTAAATTATCACTGTTAAGTTGTTGTCAGCTCTTTAAAATAAAGAGGTTCAGAGAGAGGGGAAATAATAAATTACGGGTCCACAATATGGGAAGATTAAAAAACAATATGGGAAGATTAAAAAACAATATGGGAAGATTAAAAAGGAGTATTTGCTTATATCCTGTCTCATTTAAGAGGAGATGCAGAATATAAGGAATGGCACAAAAAGACAAGCAGTGGTCTCTCATTTATCATTTGGGGATAGAGAAGTGAAAGTACAACAGCAGGACAGAAAATATAAAATTTATAAAAGGAAATTCTTTTGTTTCATTGCTACTATATATTGTAGGCAAGAGCTTTGAAAGATTCAAAAAGGATTAAAGATTTATATGGAGGATGAGAACATCCACAGTTACTTCAGATTAAAGGCTTCTGCAATATAAGCCCTCATGTTCCAGGACATTAGACAACCTATAAAACAAGAGGATTTAAAGAGAAATTTTCCCTATGAGTAAGATATTGTGTTTGTCCACTCCGAGTTATTTGGCTTCTTCCTCTGGAACATCTAGTACTGGGAACTCAAACCCTGATATTTAAAATTCTTACGCTGCCAGATTTAGGCAAAAGTATGTAAGCTAAGTGTTTCTCCTTCCTGCTCAGATGTAATGTCTGTTCCACCACCTAAAAAAGGACAGGTGACTAGATCTTTGACTGATTTTATTGAAACCTAGAATTGCTGATATTTCTTTTATACATTCTTTTATGTATTATATATATATATTCTTTTAATTGTCTCATATTTCCTTATAAAACAGCGTCAGTGCTCTCAGATGTTACTACCACCTCCTACTCCAGTTGGTACTGCCCCTGTAGCAGAACTGGCAGAACTACATCAGTACTGCAGACAATGTGCCAGCAAAAAGCTGGTTGTAGTTCCAGTGACACACCAGATGGTGAGCTGGAGAGGCTTGGCCATGGGCTAACATCTTGTTTTGCAAACTCTGCCAGAGAAGGTGACAAGTCATAATTTCATAATCTGCCACGGAAGGATTCATCAGAGCTCACCTGTAGGACTCCAGAGGGTCTCAACTCATACAGATATAAACTTTGAGCAGCCGAGTGTGAAAAGGTTCTCCAGTGTATGTGGCTGTCCTTAAATCATGAACAAAGGACTAGAAAAGCATGATGCCAGAATATGTTAGGTATAAGGCAGATTTATAACAAGCCTATGGAATCAAGTCCTGTCTTTTATTCAGGAAAACTTGCCAGCCAGCGTCTCATCATGTGCTTTGTTGTATTTAGTTGCAGATCTGGGACACGGCTGGCCAGGAGAGATTCCGAACCATCACCCAGAGTTATTACCGCAGCGCCAATGGAGCAATCCTAGCCTATGATATCAGCAAGAGAGGCTCTTTCCTGTCCATTCCTCGCTGGATCGAGGATGTGAGAAAGTATGCTGGTTCGAACATAGTACAATTACTGATTGGTGAGTTAAAAATATTAATACCAATGTACTTAGTTGCAATATTTAAGATGGTTAGAAGTTTTATTTTTGGTTGAAGTTAAGATGTATATAGATCCAATTAGAAATTTTCCCACTTTTTTTTTTTATTAGAAAGTGCTGATTCATAAAAACAAATATTTTGCTTTGCTTAACTTCTGTGAAGAAGTAGAGAGCTTTGTATCAGAAGACAGCTTTGAAGACTTTGCATCCCACTCAATGGAGAGCTGGCTACCCAAGATTTCCAGGTTCTGAGGCACAGCTGCTGTGGAGCTGTTCTTGTTGCAAGGATCATAAGCCTTCCAGGGCTCAGAGAATCTCCATCATATCAAGCCAATGTGTTTTGGAAAACTGGAACACCCACGTACTTCAGCAGACGTGCGATTTCAGAAGGATTTCGGGGCAATCGGGGTTTGTCAGTTCTCTGCTAGAAGTTGTGCTTCCCAGCCCAATGTTTCTGACTCGGACATGGCTCTCGGGGCCTGCAGACCCACTAATACCAGATCAGTACTATTCTGGATTTCTCTAGGTACCAGCAGACTGCTGTTGTTTTCACAAAATGGTTTTGGTTTTAATTTCTAGCCCATTTGTCTTCTGTTAAGGTCTACAGCCACCACTCTTCACTTACTGACTTCTTCTGTTACCTGTATGAGTCTTACAGAAATACCGGTTGGAAGGGGCTTAGGAGATTGTCTAGTCCAACCTCCTCCTCAAAGCGAGGCTAATGTCAGGTTGATCAGGGCCTGTTCAGTCAAATTCTGAAAATCTCCAAGAACGGAAGTTCTGCAGCTTCCCTGGGAAACCTGAGAACCTCCTGCAGAATACTTAGTCTGACATAGTCAATACAAATTACTCTGTTGTTTCTTTTTTCTTCCAGGAAACAAGTCTGACCTAAGTGATCTTCGAGAGGTTCAGCTGGAAGAAGCTCAGAGTCTGGCTGAACACTATGATAATATCATCTGTGCCATAGAGACCTCTGCAAAAGACTCCAGCAATGTGGAGGAGGCTTTTGTGAAGATGGCTACAGAGCTCATGATGAGGCATGGAGGCCCTGTGTTCAGTGAGAAGAATACTGACAGCATCAAGCTTGACAGCAAAGATGTTGTAGAAGGCTGGGGGTGTGGTTGCTGATATGAGCTAGGTGATATCCCTAACTTTACTGGAATTTAGATGGTGCTTCACCCTAATGCTGAGTAGCACAGTAGCCATATTCTCCTCCTCCTGTGAAACCAGCAATTTGTTATGTTAGACACAATCCTGTTTGCTTTGGTGTCTTATTTTTAAAAATGGACTCTTGAGAGGTAGTCCTAAAAGTCAAACCCTCTGAAAAACTTACTCAACATTTGTCTCCACCATTTTCTTTTCTGTAACCTTCACACAAGTTACAAAAGTGGAGGAAACAACCTTGAACTGGTGACGTGGGTGGGGAGACAGATGGTTGGGGAAGAGACTGATGCACGCCCAAAGTTCTGAAGCATTTGGCATGGGACTCTTGGCAAAGGAGGTGACTTTTGGAATAGGCAGTCTTGACAGTGTCTCTTTAAATCCTCGGCACTCCACCAGAGTGACCAGAAAGTGACAGTGTCTTTGATGAAGGTATTTCAAGTGTCAGAATACCCAGCATTTTGATTGCATGACCAAATAGCAGTCACCTGGCCTAGGGCATATGGATTGCTCGTTCATGTGGGAACAGGCCTAGGTGAGGAAGCCTTCTCTCAGGTTTTATTATAATTTTTTTAAATTATAATTTTAACAAAAAGCAAAATCAGCCTGAGCAGTACCACGTGACTTGCTGTCAAGCAGGATTGGACCAGTGTAGTTATTTTAAATACAGCCTTGAGGAGAGGGTAGATGCATTTCATTTGTTACTGTTTGCACAGTGATAGCGCCCTTTTCCAAGTGGGTATCATTGAGGTTTTGCCCTCAGGTCTCTCAATTTCATTCCACAACTCAAGACCTGCACCACTGGAAACAGGAACTGGAGAAACCTTGAACTGACTGGTAGCTGTGATCTCCTGCCATGTGCCTAACAGTCATACACAGGGTTAATTCTGGTCATATACGTTTAACATTATGTTACCAGAGTGTTTATTGCTTAAGATAAGTGGATTTGGTTTTTGCTTTGGTTGTTTGGGTTTTTTTAAACCACTTCTTTAAATACAATCTGGGCATATAATGGGACAGATGACCTCAGAATAGCTGAAAACTGCATGCATTGCAACTTCTTGGTTGTAAGGAACCAGCATCTTTCCAAGTGATTCCCTCCCAACTATGTACTCAACTGCTTCCCTCTCCCTATCACAAGTTATCAGTTGCTTTTTACTCCTTGAAAACACTCAGCAGGAAAAATCTTTTGCTGTTGATCCGAAGTCCACATTGTTAAGTAAAATGGATTTCATAATTCAACTGCATATAGTTGTCCTTCAGATTCAGCTCTGTATTCCGTGTTGTGGATGCAGTTGAAGTACTGATGGCAGCAGTCCTCTCTGGATTTACGCTCTCAAGCACCTTACAAAAATGGATTTGCAGAGGGAGCAGAAGCAGGATTATTTTTAACTCTGCAGTTAAAGCAAAGGTGTTCAGAGGTGACAAGTGATTTTTGCAATCCCTGATACTTTGAAGGAGCTCAGTTTCAGAAACCACCCACTTAGAAGTGAAGTCACTTGTCCCTTTTGAAAGTCTTGATCAAAAAGGACCTGGATTGGTTTGCTACTAGGGCTATACTAGTTTTAATACACTCAACATATCCAGTATCATGAAAATTGGGAAGATTTAAGGGCTAATAGATCCTAATCTCAATGCTATTAATCTTTTTACAGAAAATATTAAACCATTTTCTGGTCTTTCTGGTTTTTTAAAACTATGAGGAAGGTTATTGAGGAATTATGTTTACTTTGAGCCCATTTGCTTCAAATCTAAAGTGTTAGTTTTCAACTTCTATAGTTGTAACAGTGAAAGGGCCTTAAATTTTTTCCATTAGTACAGATTTCACAATTCTAACGTTTTATATGAAAGGGCAGGTTGAGCTGCAGTACTCAGTAGTATTTTTGGATAGTTTTTCCAGGACATTCCCAGCTCTCCTACATCCAAAGATAACAGGCAATAAGTGTCCAGCAGTAGCTAGACACTGAAAATGAGAGACTCTGAACTCTAGATTTGTTACTGATTAGCAAACCCTGTATCCCCTTCTCGGGAGAAACTATGAAGACAGTCCAAGCTAAAACTCAGTCCTGATCACTGCTTCTCCCCCCTGGTTAGATGGTCCTTAAGACACAGAATACTGGCAAGCATGTGGCTTTGTGTCACGACATATTATAGTTGACATCTGTAGGTCGCAGTCCTGCAGTTCTGTGTGCTTGAATGCAGACTCTCAGTTAAGCTCAGCCTCCCACTATTTGCAGGATTAGTGCCAAATTATTTAAGCCCTGCTTGATAAAAATTCACACGCATTTAAGAACAGTATTGCTACTACGCAGATTAAAATCAGTGGTTTACGTAGTAACTCATCGTAAAACCAGAGCAAGATGCAAAATGAACATAAATACTGCTCCCAGTGCATGATTGTGCTTTTACAGTAGATGGAGAACTGAGGGATTATTGAGCCATTTCCTTTGTGTTGAGGTTTGATTAGCAAACAAGTAGAATTAGACTAAACACTATAATTTTCCTGCCCCCATGTATCTCTGAAGCTAGTCTTAAAGGTGGAGACTCTGTCTGCAGGTTAGGCTGTTTCAGTCAGAAAACATGAAATACAGCATCAGTGATTTGTTCGCTGTCTTTTCAAGTGAAGGCACCGATTCAGATTAGTTTTAATTTTGCTGTAGAAAACTAAGACTATGGCTTTAAGTCAGCTTTGTCTTTCTTCTAACTCTTG